AACTTATTCTCCAAAAATTCTGTACAGTTTTTCTCTCTCTCTCTCTCTCTCTCTCTCTCTCTCTCTCTCTCTCTCTCCTTATTTGATGCATGCATGTTGATCTAACATCTTTGTCGAAGCAAAACAAACGAAAAAGAGAAACTTGTTACCGCTGCTTGTTTGTGTTATAACATGGACTGGATGGATATTGTCCATCCACTTTTCATCAACATCCATTTTCTATTTACATGTTTTTTTCCCTTGTGGCCCATATGAAACAAAAAGGGGAAAGGAAAATGTGAGAAAAGAGAGAAATGAATGAATTTCTGTTTTGTTTTTTAGTTTTCAGTTTGATAATCATCAAGCAAACAAACGAAATATCTGTAAATATTTATGGAACAAAATAAACTTGCACAAACAAACATTTATTGTTCCAAAAACAGATGGCCACCGTTTCTGTTTCTGTTTCTGTTTGTCGATTATGATTGAAATAAATTTAGATTTTTTTCTTTCTCGAATTATTGAAATGGTCAATGGTCATCCAAGAATCTCGAAACAAAACAAAATGAATTTATCAATGGCAAAACGCACGCCCTTGATGTCTGTTTTGTATTTCGCTTTGTTTTCAATGAAATTTTTGGGAACAATAACACTTTTTTTTCTACTGCTCCAAATCAAGATCGAAATTGTTGATCATAAATCTTTTCTGTTTTTGTTTTGTTTGTGTTTCATTTAGCCACCTTAATAATTTCTAATTAAATGTCGGGTAAATCCATGACCTTAACACATGTGTATCAACAACACCCATTGATGATGATTATCGCGATGTTCTTTGATTGGAGCTTTTCTTGTTGTTTTAACTGATCGATCGCGATTGATCAAAAATCAAAAAGTCAAAATTCGTGGTTTTTTCTTCGATTTTCATTTGAAAATTGAATGGAAAGAACATTTCAATTAAGACAACCACCATATCTAAATGAATGAATCGATAATGATGATGATAAAGTACCAATGTAATGTACATTCTTTAATTTAAAAAACATCTGGTTGTAAAATAAAAAAAGTTTTTTCCCCAAATTAATGACAAAATGAAAATGAAAATTTCAATGTCATTAAATGAAATTATCAAAACACACAGGTGAAATTTGAAAAAACAAAATTGAAAAAACTTTATTTTGAAAATTATCACGAAAGCATCAATGTAGAAAATATTCTTAAAATATTCTTTCTCCCAAAGAAAGAAAAAAATATTCAAATTTTCAAATTTTTGATAATGATGATATTCAAACGATGGTTTCGTGTTGTTTATGTTCTCTCTTTCAGGCGCACACACACACCTTAATTCAGTTTGTTTCAAGTTTGTCAATTCCATTCCATTCCATTCAATTCATTTTTGCATTTGAATTGATGACATTCAGCCATTTTCCCTTCTTCTTTTCATTTTTTGAATTGAAGAAACTTACAACAAAAAAAAAACCTTTCAAGATAATGGGACAATTGAAATACTGCTGTTTACTACTTGCTTGCTTACTTATCATCATATTTTTTTCCGTAATTCAAACATTGATTGTAACATTGAAAAAACAACACAGAAATTGACAGAAAACAACGGAAAAAAAATTGACAGATGATGATTTCGTATTGTATTGTTGTTTCCTCATTTGTCGTTGTTTTTTTTATCGCCAAAACAAAATTCAAATTAGCCAAGAAAGAATACAAAATTTCATCATCATTTTCATCTTCAATGTCAAAGATTTTTCACTGTTTTATTTAAATTTTGAATTTTGAATTTTAATTAGAAAATTTAGTTAATTAAATTAATTTTGTTTCAAATCCGCATATCTCTAATATAACCATGCTTCAGGTCCATGTTTTTCTTTGACCAACATAAATTCATCAATAACTTTACCCATTTGATTACGGCTAATTTGTCTAAGTTGAATATGTGTTTCATTCAATACTGTCATATAAGTATAACCATAATCATTTGATACATATGCTGTATATGGATTTGGATTTGAATGTACGGGTGTAACAAATTCACGACAACCAGCTGAACCGGTAATAATATGTACTGGGGATTTTGGATTAAAATATGGATCTTGGCGGGTTCCATTGAAAATTTTTTCATTATAAACAGGTAGAAATCTTGTATAAATATGATCATGTGCCCAAAATGAAAGATCAACACCATATTTATATAATAATGGTTCTAAACCAGGTAATTGTTCATTACCGATACGTATTTTATTATCCGGACGTGTTGCTTGATAATATAATGGATGATGTCCCATTGTTATAATCCATGGTTGTTTTTTACGATTTTCCGGTTCATTTGCACGTTTTAAATCCTGTTCTAACCATTTGAATTGATTTTCAATCATATGTGTACCGTATTGGATATGTTCCCAAAAATCAGTATTAATTGCAATTAAATGTACTGGACCAATATTATAACTCCAAAAATGATTATTAATTTCTTTTTCGCCTTGTGAATGCATTGTAAAACGATGATTATAATTTGAATAATTACTATTTACAGAGGGGGAGGAAGAAAAATTATTAGAAAATCATCGATTTGATTTGATTTAAAACTTACTAATCACGTTCATGATTACCAGCCATAACTTGATATGGTACATATGCTGCAATTGGTTGTATTTGACGCATAAATTCATCACCAACTAATGCATTATCAGTATGCATATCATATGCAAAATCACCAACATGTGTTACAAGATCATGATGTCCAAGTTGTATTTCTTCTTGTAACATTGACATTGTCTGGGCATTATCATTACCCAAATCACCATAAATAACAAAACGTGGTTGCCATTCATTACCTTTTGGGAATGTTTTAAAGAAAAATAATTCTGACCAACCATTTTCTGAACCACAATGATAAATATAACGTGTATCAGGTTGTAAGTTTTTCATATAAACACGATGAATGTACATATGTCTTTTTTTTGGACCACCATCAATAAATTTTTGTTGATAACCACGTGATGAATAATCAAAACTTTGTTTAGATTCTTCACCATAATGACATATTGAATCGGATGTTTTTTCCATTGTTGTCCATGTTGCAACAATTTCGGTTGGTTGTTCTGTTTACACAGGTTGAAAAACATTTCGATTAACCCAAAGATATTCATAAAAGTAAATAGAAGAAACTTACCACCTAATGAAATATGTAATTGTTCGGGTTGAATATAAACTGGTTTCCATGATTCAGCTGAATTTACTTCGATCGTCAAAACGATAAAACCAATGAAAAAAATCAATAATTTCGAAAACATTTTTTTTCTTCTTCGTTCAGCAAAAAAAAAAACCGATTGAAAACCTTTGATTTTGAACAATGTATGGTGCACAATATTTATTTGATTCCCAAACCATCCCAATCAATCAACCAATCAATCAATCAATTAATTGATTATCGATAACCATTAATCAAACGTACCACTTACATCAAATATTGAACTTTTTTTTTTAAATAGCTACTTGTATCTTTCATCTTGTATCTTATCAATATCAGTCAGGTAGTTGAGATTTTTTATTTTTTTTTGCATCCAAACTACTTCAATATGTATGTATCATTCGATATTTTAATTATCAATTTTAATTGCCAAAAAAAATAATGAACGTTCATTTACACTGTAATACAATTCATATCATTCATATCGAATTACTCAAAAACCAAAAAGTAACAAAAAAGTAATTACCATAATAACATAACAAACAAAACAAAAAAATTTGTCAAGGACAGTCATTATCATCATCAATAATGATAACATCCATCACATATGTAACCATAAGCTACACATTATGTGTCACTATTTTTCTCGGTCAGTATTATTCAACATTCGTAATGATCTTTGTTTGTTTGCTTGTTGTTGTTTTACTTCAAAGATATTTGACAGAAATGAGAAGGAAATTTTCCTCCTACACTACAATCGCCTATGAAATGAGAATAAATCGTCCATCATACTTATGTGTGTTTGTGACACAATAGACCAAGAATGATGATAATGATAATGATGATGATTATCATTGAATTGAATGAATGGAATGAATGAATACGGAAGTAAAAAACAAACGAAAAAGACTTAATGTTAGCCCAATAACGTTAATGATAATAAAGACAAACGAAAAGAAACAATTATCTTTTTTGTCACCTGATGTATTATATGTAATGAATTCTTGATAACGGTTATATCATGAATGTTGTCATTTTCTCGCAGGCGATATTTCAATTTCGCAATCCCAAAAACAACATCACCACAACACAAACCCGAATAACATACATCAGGGTTAAATAATACATACAGGGATGTACCGCTTTTTTTTCTTTCTTCTTCGTCGTCGTTGTCGTCAGTTGTCATCCACAATACACACACACACACACTATAATTATCAAGATTATGAATTGAATAAGAAACCTTGAAAATGTTGTTTTTTTTCCTGTTTCTTTCAAATGAATGAATGAAAAATCATTAAACCGAAAGGTTTTTCGTTTCTTTCAGGAAAGAAAAATCCAATCAATCATCATGTATGTCAACCAAACAACGGCGTTTCTTTTTCATTGTTTTCTTTATGTGGGGAAAAAAAAAGACCGAAAAACGATGAAGAATATCTTATAACCAACCAAACTTTTTTTACCGGTTTCTTTGAAAGTTTTTTCACAATTCATTTCCATACTTAGCAAAAACATTACTTGGATGCTTTCAAAATGAATAAAAAAAATTCAATTAAAAATCTTTTAAAAGTCGATTTTCAAAAAATTCAAACAACCCAAGCAATATCAGATTATCATTGTGATTTTAATCAAATATGATATCCCGGTTTTTCTCATTCATTTTTCACTTGTCCAAAACAAAGCTATCATTGTTTGGTCGAAATAGCCAAACCCGAAAGAAATTTTTTTCCCCAAATTCAATTCAATTCAACTGAAGATCATGAATCATTCGTTGACTTCCTTGATTTTTTTTTCTGTTGTTGTTGAAAAAAAAAATCCTGATGATTTTCGGAATCCTTTTTTTTGTTGAAAGAAAAGAATGGAAAAATTCAAGCTTGAATAAATTTCCTGTGTATCAAGAGAAGGGAAAAAACCCTTGATCCTGCAATCAATCATTATTGATGGTAAGATGATGACGGTGTCACCAACATAGATACATTTAGATTTGAATATCATCATTTGACATTTGACATTTGAAACCGAGAAAAAAAAACACGAAATATTCATATCATTTGTCATATTAACCACAAAAAAACAGGTAATAATGATTGGTTTGGTCGGTCGGTTGATTTGGTTGCTTGTTACTAATTTCATTTTTGTTTATGGTCGATTAATTTTTCGACTTTGCATTTTTTTTCATTCAAAATTAAACCAAAATGAAATAAAAGAAACAAGAAAACTTTAGTGGTAAAGTCATCAAATTGTTTATCATTGGATGATGATAATGATCATCCAGCTTTGAGATAAAGACGACAAACCACAAACGACGATAATAATGATGATAATGATGATAAAGTTTTCTTCAAAAAAAAAAAGATTTTCCGTAAAAAAATTTGACCATTTCATTTTTTACGGAAATCTATTTCTAATTGAAAAAAAATTTGACCGACATTCACTGTTTTAATCATCATCATCATTATCACACTAATCAACTGTCAACTTGATTGTCAATTTATTATTGTTTGTTAAAAAAAACACTGAATATTTTCCTAGATTCCTATGTGAAAATAATCAAACAAACGAAGAAAACAACAAACCTAAACAAATAGAATGTGATTACATAATACCAACCAGTTCTGTTTTTTCGATTGACCAATCAGCCAAAAAAAAAATAAATCTTTTTTCTCTCGAAACCAGGAAGTCTTTTTCGGGTAAATCTTTTTTCAATGAGAAGGACTTGACGGTCAGTTTTTTTTTCATAGAAAAAATCTTCAAGAAGATTGAAGAGATTCTAGTAACCTTCATCCTTTATCAGGTGAAATTTATTCATTCATACGATTTTATTCTCATCATCATCATCATTATGGTCATCGTGAATAGCGAACAAACATCATCTGGTCATCATCCATTCCATCATCAAAGAACAGAAAAGAAAATAATCATCTTTTTTGAAGGATCATCATTATCGTCGTCCATCATCATCATCATCATCGACATCGACAATGGCAGCAATAACCGGCTTTTTCACAAATTTCGAGAATAATTTCCGCGATAGAGATTGAGCAAGAAAGATTGAGCGAGGGTTAACCAAGAAATTCAACTTTTTTCAAGGTAGAAAAAAAATAACACTCTTTACTCACAAAGAGATAGAGAAAGAGAGAGAGAGAGAGACGCGGATATTGTTAAACAGCCAGGGCGAAAGGTCATTTGATTTTCGTTGTTTTGATAAAAATCATAATCAGGATTCATTTCCGAAGCCAAAAACTTTTCGGTATCTATGATGATGATAATGTTTTGCCTGATCGATTTCTTGATGGTTTAAAAATATGGATACAGGTGATGATGATGATGATAGATTTCAAGTTTATCCAACAACAAAAAAAAGAAAGAAGATATCATCAAATAACATGTCATCAAAAAAATCGATTCGAATATTTGAATGGAAAATCGAATCATCCATTGATGATGATAGGGTAGAGTTCATCTACCTGAATTTGACATATTGATATCACAATTAAATGATGATGATCATCATTGGCTTCGGATGATGATTTTCGAATGAAATATTATATGGTTTCAAAGGTATCAGGTGTCAGGCTTTCAAAAAAAAAACATCAAAGAATTTTCTGTTGATCATCATCATTATGATAATGTGATAAATGATGTCATTTCGCAATGGTTCGAAATTAATCAATGATGATGATGATGATAATTGACCATGGTGAATCGATTTTTCGGGTTTTTGTTTTTGTTTTTGTTGTTTCGAAAAATTCGGAAAAAAAAATTCTACAATAACCGGCATTAGTCTCGCCATCTATCAATGATATTTTCAACAACTATTCAATTCAATTATGGACGTTCATATAAGACGTTCGGCATTTTTTTTTGCCTTGTCATTTTTGTCATTTTTGTGTTTTCACTTCACTGTCAATGTGTGTTTGTTGTTTGATTGAATTGCAAAATTATTTTTTTGAAAAAAAAATAAAATCATTACAAAAAAATGGCAAATGAACCGAAAAAATCATCAACAAAAGATTCGGCAAAAGAATCAAAAGAACGAAAAGATGATATGAAAAAATCGGCTACAATTGATCTTGGTTTTTTGGAAGAGGATGATGATTTTGAAGAATTTCCAGCTGAAAGTAAGTTTATCGATTCATAAATTCTTCAAACAAACTAATAATTTTTTTTTGATTTTAGATTATGATATTTTAGAAAATGAAGATATTGAACCAGTAAATATATGGGAAGATGATTGGGATGATGATAATATTGAAGATGATTTTAGTACTCAACTAAAGTATGTTTTTAATTTTCCAACCTTTTTTCTAATTTTTTTTATTGTTTTTCTTACAAACATTTATTCAGATCTGAATTTGAGAAACGAAATTTGATGGGCAAATGAATTTTTTTTTAATTTTAAAAATTGTAATTTGTCATTTTCAAATTTGTAATAAAATTTTAAACATTTAATTCTGTCGTTGTTGTTGTTGTTGTTTCCATTCACCAAGCCAATCGATTAATGGTTGATAATATTCTAATAATGGTTCGATTTGATAGTCAATATCGTTCGAATCAAACATCTTGACCATAATGTCCAAATCATTACCCGAAAATTCCGGTTGCATTAAATCGATTCGTAACAATTTTCGTAATGGATCAAAATCCGTTGGCCGGGGACAACATTCAACCAATGAATGATGATTATTACAGATTTTTCGATGAAATTGATGTTGCAACAAAACCCCAAATACATAACGCCAATATGGTTGAAAATTTGCAACATGATATTTTAGCAATGGATCCAATATTTGTTGATGATCATCCAATGATTGTGGTCGCTGTATTTGTTGAATTTGTTCACGTAGCATCCAATAAATACCATTGGAATCATCCAATGACATTTCATTGTCGGTTGTTGAAAAAGTTTGATTACGCCATTCTTCCAATATCAATCCGAATGGTATTGTAACTAATGTACTCAGTGCTTCTTCCATCAAAGTATTGATTCGTAATTGATTGAATAAAGATTTCGGTAAAATTGATCGTTGTGAATGAAGTTGACAACCATTCCATGTCATTCGCATTAATTCACCAATACTTTCATGTGAAGCTGAATTGAATTGCATTTGATAAAGATTTCGGTGATGATGATTTGATTGGAAAAAATAATAAACATGTCCCAATTCATGAAATAAACGACGAAAATTATAATGAAAATTATTTGATTGTAAACAAACATTCATTCGTACATCATTATTATTGTACATATTTAATGTTTGTGGATGACAACTACCATTATTGCTTTGTTGAATAAGATTTGATTGTTGCCAAAATTGTTCGGGTAGCGGATCAAAACCACCATGTTCAACATAAAATCTTGAAACAGTTTCGATAACATTGTTGATTTGGTTATCATTTGGATGTTGTTCACCAAATGAATATGGTCGAATTAGATCGATAATTGTATCCATTTGTGCACCATTCAATGATCGTAACCAATGTGCTGGGATTCCTACGAAATTATCATCATCATCATCATTGAATTTTTCTCGCAATCGATGACCAATATAATCCATTAATAAATGATAAAATGGTTTCAATCGATTCCACAATGTCCAGGCTTTCAATCGAATCTGATCGATTGAACCAATTTTCAAATCATAATTAACTTTATTCCATAATTCTATTCACAAGAAAGTTTTCATCAGTTTTGATTTCTCAGTATCAAAAGAAACTTACCATAAAAATATTTACCACTAATTTGTTTACGTATTTTTTCAAATAAATCCGGTATCATATGATATTCAAGTTGTTGATGACATTCATGCCAGATTTTTAAAATTTCCTTTGAATTTTGTAATTTTTCCATTAATAAATCAATCGATTCATCACATCGATATTGATGACCGCGATAAACAATTCCGATCTGTTCAATTTGATGAGTTAATGTTTGTTTTTGATGATTAAATTCAAATTGAATATCGTTGGATGATTGTCGATGACCATTACCATCACCACCAAATAATCGTTGAACATCAGACCAATATCGACAAAATTTATCCAGCCGACATTCGAATTCGATGCTGGTGATGGACGAATTACAATATGTTCGATAACGATCGGATGACCAATGAATGAATTCTGAAATATCTGACTCGCTCGATTCCTCATGATGATGATAATGTCCATTCATTTCGGATGGTCTACCAATCAAACGTTGCCATTGATCGGATTGATAACGATAAAGCCATTCACCAAGTTGATGATCATATTGATCGATTTCATCGTTTAAATTCTTTAAAATATCATCATTGAAAATCAAAGGACATGCCAAAACATTCGAAATAATTATGTTTAAAATTAGGAATTTGGACACGACCATCCTCGTTGCCATCATTATCATCAATGTTTGCCTGAATGTTTTTTAATCCATATTCTCATTCTCATCATCATCATCAGAATTTCATTCTAGTGGATTCCACGCAAACACACACACACACACACATAGAGAATATTATTCAAACATTTAATTATGGAAATTTAGTCGGAAACAATCAAACAAACAAACAAACACAGAATTATAGCTCAAGTGGGCTGTAAAAAAATGGTAATAAAAATTTTTTTTTTTTGTAAATCCCACCAATTATGATCAGGGTTTAACAATAAAAATGATCTTTTGTTTTTGTTTTGGTTCACTGTAATATCATTATTAAATTCTAATAAAAAACTCAAATTTGCCCCGATTAATTTCGGTAATAATATTGGATATTTTATGAAACCAGCAACAAAAATCAATCAGATTTACGAAGAAAAATTTCCAACCTTTTTTTTCTACGATAATTCTACGTTAAAGAGAGCAAAGAAAACTTGAAAGTTGCAATTGCAAAACCACTCATAGCGCGAACATCACTTGAAAATTTGTTTTAAAAGTGCCAAGTTTGATAAATGATCCAGGCACGTTTATTAATCAATCAATCATGTTCATATTATTATTATTAGTATTATTACTTTGAAAAACAAAACAAAATCAAAATCAAAAATTCAAAAATTCAAAATTCAAAAGTTTCAAAATGAATCAGGACAATTTTCAACGATTTCTTGCAATAAACAATAAAGTTAAATAGGCAATAAAACGTAATAAAAACATTAACGATAAAATACCAAAAAAATTCAGCCATTCTGGTTGTATGCCAAGTGCCAAAAAATGTAATACATCTTGACCAGTTTCAAAACACATTTGTTGTTGTTTTGGTTTTAAATTATGTGTATCATTATTAAATGAATGAAGATTTGATGCTGCTGTTGTTGTTGTAGCAATTGTTTCGGAATTTGAAATATCAACACAATCTAAAATTTCAACATTACGCCATTGATTAACGGCTAATGCATCGAATCCATAATAAAACCATGATATCCATTTTGTCCAACGTAAAAATTTTGGTATTGAACTGTTTCGAAAATGAAAAGGCAAAAAATCATTAAATAAATTCAAATTTAACATTATTATTGATTATACTGACTGTGTATTGAGAAAAAAACCACCCAATAATTGAAATGGCATAATTAATGGTGGTCCAAATGATAATGCAACATCAGTATTACGACATAAACATGATATAAGATAACCAAATGAAACACCACATGCCGATATAATGACAGCAATAAGCATACAATATAAATATGAATCAAATGATGGATATAGATTCAATGTATAATAATAAATTGTAACAAATATTATCGGTATGCAGACAAATATTGGAATTTCGGCCAAATTTTTACATACAAAATATGCATCAACAGTATACATTCCATTATTATGTTCACGTATGAATATTGGTAATTCGGAACAGAATACATTAATAACAGCAAATGCATTTTGCATTGTCATATTAACAATTAATAAAAATAATGCACCATTTATATTCCAAACACCACGTTGATCATAATTTTGTGAAAAAAATATTAATCCCAATATGATTGAATTCATCTAAGTTAGAGAAAAAAAAGAAAAGAAGAAAGGATGGGAAGGGGGGATAAAACAGAAAATTAAAACCAATTTTTCAGAAAGTTTCCAGAAAAAAAAATTTGTCATATTCAAGAGTTTTGTTTGATTTTATCATTTGGAGGCGACGGGTATCGATCCCGTTACCTCTCGCAAACTAGAAACGATATTAATTTGATGCTAAGCGAGCGCGCTACCATCTGCGCCACGCCCCCCATGAATCAAACAAATCTCAAAACCAGAACCAAAGATGAAAATTCTGGATCAAAGAATTTTCCTCTTTGAACTATGCCGAATATGATATGATTAGAATGGTTATAAAAACGGTATTTAAAATCCAGAAAAACGATTTTCTGAAACTAGATCATCATGAAACAAAGTAAACACGAAGCTAAAACGCAATAATAATAAGAAAAAAAAAATAAAACAAGTTTTGAACTTGCGAATTAGTAGCAGCATTAGCAGCAGAAGACGCAGCAACAAGTTGTTACTGTTGCTGTTGTGGATCGATGATCATTTGATTTGATTTGATTATTGGAGCAAAAGAAAGAAAGAAAACTTACCAATGCTTGTGATAATCTTACATAGGTAAGTGCTGGCTCACGTATAACAGTTAAATGTGAACGCCATGTTAATGCCATATATTGTTGCCAACGATTTGTTTTATATCTTGATTGTCGTTTTTGTCTACGTAATTGTGATGAAAATGTACTACTACCCAATGAATGTAATGAATCAGAATTTTGTCGATCACGTATTGAACGTTCAAAATAATCACAAATACGATTAATTTTTTTACGACATTCCATTTCTTTACCGGGTACAACGGCTAATTCATGTACGAAAAAATCAGCCGGATTATAATTCTCTGGACATTGATGACCAATAGTAGCAAAATGTTGTATTGCAGATTTTATTTCACCAAAATAAGCAACACGTCCATCAGCTAATAGTAAAAGATTTTGAAACATTTGAAATGTTTCGGATGATGGTTGATGAATTGTACAGATAATTGTACGTCCCAATTGTGCCATTTTATTAATAATCGATACAAGATTTGCAGCCATAAATGAATCCAATCCGGATGTTGGTTCATCACAAAACATAATCGATGGATTAGTAAGAACTTCAGCTGCAAATGATAAACGTTTAAGTTCACCACCAGAAATACCTTTAAAAAAACGACTACCACCAACACGTGTATCGGCACATTTATCCAGACCTAATTCTTGCATAACTTGATCGATACGTGCAATTTTTGTATCTTCCGATACTGATGATGGAATGCGAACCATTGCCTGAAATACTAAATGTTCACGAACGGTTAATGTTGGTAGAAACATATCTTCTTGTTGTACATAAGCGGACATTGATGTAATCATATCAATATCAGCTAAACGATCATTTATACGTATAACACCATCAACATGAAAATTTGATAAATTTCGACAATTCAATACATTCAATAAGGTTGTTTTACCGGATCCACTAAATTGTTGTAAAAATTTATTAGTAAAAAAAAACATCCAAACAACAACAACGAATCTTACCTTGCACCCATAATGGCCAATGTTGATCCGGCTTTAATTTTACCTGAAACTAATTTATGAATGGAAAACAATTGTAAAAGGTTAATTCAACTCAAACGAACCAAAAAATCAGATTTTTTTTTTCATTTTTTACCATTTTTAATAATCTGTGTACCATGTGGTAATGTTTTGAATGCAATAGCATCCATAAAACTCATCGGTGGTTTTGCCCAAACATTAACATTATGCCAGGTTACTGATGCCGGTATAAATGTTGATGATAATGATGGTGTTGATGATCCCGATGTTGATGATCCCGATGACGATGATGATGATGATGATGTTGAACGAGATTTGTTTAATGGTATATGACCATTTTCATCGGAAAAATTATTCGACATTTTTGATAAACCAAAGAAGAAGAAAAAAAATGCAAAAATTATTCAATTCAGAAGCGAGCAAAATGATTTTCTGGCCACAATGTGTGTGTGTGTGTGTTTGACACATCGAATAGAATATTTAAAACACGAAACATATGCCACATCATCTTTGGCAAAAGAAAAAAAAAGATTCGAATTTTTTGATTTGAAAAAAAATTCGAATCTTTGAAAAACAAAACCAAAAAAAATTGAAACAACAGGATAGCAGCAGCAGTACAACTATATCAACCAAAATGATTGTAGGTGTGTTAAAATAGTGATTCAATATTTATTAGATTGAATTGGAATGATTTTGAGACAAAAAATTTTATAATGAATAAGATTTTATTCGGTTTTATTAAAATAATAAATAAAAAAAACTATAATAAAAAGTAGTAATATACTTCAAATTGGCCATTATGAAAGTGATATATTTCATAATAAGCCAAATAATAAAAATAAATGCCGTAATAGACCGGCAAATGGTAATTGTGTTCAACTTGTTCGGTTGGCAGATTCATTTTGTTGTTTCGGTGTTTTTATTCTTGAACGATTCAATACTTAGCAAGGAAAAAAAGGAAAAAAAAGGAAAATGTATTGTAAATTTTAATAAGTTGATTTGAATGAAAATATTCCCAATTTTATATCAAATAAACATTAATTGTTAAGATTACAAATTTAAATTATAATCAATTTAAATTATAATTATTAATTAATTATAATTATAATTAATATTATTATATTTTATTTTCATTATTTACAAACACGGAAATAGTTAACAACTACAATACAAATATGAAATAGATTACATTAATGGGATGTATAAAAATTTCGCCCGGTGCACAACTTGATATATTTAAAAGGTTTTATTATTAAGTATAATTTAGATGGATAAAAACAATAATAAAAACATATGATGGATGTAAATAATCCACAATAACATAAATAAATAAATTGACGTTGATGTTGACCACGTTTGCTTGGTTGACGACGTTGATCGATGCGATGGTGGACATATTAATAAAAGAAAAGAAGGGGCCGTGGCCTGTGAAGAATGGTGTGGTGTTTTTGTTTGGAATGATGTGCTTAGGTATACCTAACGGAAATGGTTGACATATTGATATCAACATCGAAGTCACTCTTAACATCAAACAAAATGGATTCTATAATTATAAAGATGAAAGTTCATAGGAGTTATTTTCTACACAAAAAAATTTTCATAATAAATAATAATAATATACTTCATATTGGGCATTATGAAAATAATAAATTTCATAATATGCCAGATAATAGTACACCGGTATGAAGTATACCGGGTAATAATGATGAAAATTTTCTGTTAAACAACAATTATCAGCTAGAGTGTAAAACATTGGACAAGATTCGTTATTCATTTTGCCGATTCAATATTGAGAAGCAAAAGGTATTGTAACACACTCATTAACTTCATATAAATTTTCATCAATTTTTATCATTGTTTATTTGTACAAGAGTCCTAGGACTTCGTGCCGTAATTATTTCAATTAAATTAAATTAAATAATAAGCCAGGTAGTAATAATAGATGCCGTAGTAGGCCTGGTAAAAATAATGAAAATTTTCTGTTAAACAACAATCGCTCCAACCGTCTGTATTATCAGCTAGAATGTAAAGAATAGATAAAGAAGATGATCAACAAATCATAGAATAACAATATCAACATGTAATTTTATTCTAGTATTGATATGATCAGCATCCAATGGATGAGAGACTGGATCAGTTGACTTTCCAAAACGAAATGAATCACAGAATTCCATATTGTATTGTGTGTGTTCAGTATACTCAGCGTCATCTTCATCGATGACTTGCGGTTGTGTTCAGTATACAGGTAGTAAAGAGATAGGTCTATACACAAAGTACCATTACATGTAAAGTAAAAGTGAAGACAAAAAACACTGTAAATTTTGTTATCATCGAATTTTGTTCAATGCAGTGGAAACAAGATAAACGTTATCATTTATGAATCCAAATCATGTTGAAAATCATGGGAAAAAAACTTCAATCAAATTACAAATTCAAAATTAAAAATAGAAAGAAAANACATCGAATAGAATATTATTTTAAAACACGAAACATATGCCACATCATCTTTGGCAAAAGAAAAGAAAAAATCAAAGATTCGAATTTTTGATTTGAAAAAAAATTCGAATCTTTGAAAACAAAAAAAAAATTGAAACAACAGGATTTTTGCTGCAGCAGCACAGCTATATCAACAAAAATGATTGTAGGTGTGTTAAAATAGTGTTTAGAGCGGTAAAAAAAAATTTATTGATTCATTGAAGGATTTAAAAAAAAAATTATAGTAAATAATAGTAATAGATTTCATATTGGCCATTATGAAAATGATATATTTCATAATAAGCCAAGTAATAAAAATAAATGCCGTAATAGGCCGGCAAATAGTAATTGTGTACTTCAACTTGTTCGGTTGAATTTGAATCATCCGGGTAATAAGGATGGAAATTTTCTTGAAAAAAATCCAAACAACAATTATCAGCTAGAGTGTAGCGATTTCACATTTGAACGGATTTACTATTCAACTTACTGTACCTTATTGAATCTAGATCCGAAAAATATCGATCAACCATAAATGTTTCGAGTTCAGCTTTAAGAATCCATACTCGATTTAGTACATTTCCGCTAGATAGCCATCTTACTTCTGTATAATAAAGTAGGTCTGTACCCCGAAAATTTCATTCATTACCGCCATTTGGGATAATTTACCCCGGTTTCCCGACCGCTGGTATAATGGGACGAGTTTGAATTGATCAATAGGGTTAAAGCTCATTTCATCCAGTCGTTTCTTGATCTGATTAATGTAGAATTCATTGTATCCATTGAAACAGATCCATTATTAGATGTACCCGCCGCCATCGTATAACAAAAATTATCACACAAAAACAAAAAAATAAAAAATAAAAAATAACGAAACAGAAAAAATAATCACACTTTAAAGAAGAAAATCAAGCATACAAAAAATGATAAATAATTTGATATTTGTCATTGTTGTTGAAAAAAGATTCAATGCCCATAACGTAAAAAAGATAAATTTTATTTCAAATTCAAAGATCAATCCAACATAACAAAATACAACGCATTTTTATATATGATCAGAAAACATGTGTTTACAGCTTTAGTTTCCTGCGCAGGGTCACATATCAACATGACTATTCATAGATATCATGTCAGCCCACAAGGCCGAATTATCAACAGCCAACATGGAACATCAAATTAGTGGACAGGATTGTAATTTATTATTTTAATCTAAGATAATCTTAACATCTAGTTAACAACTTAAAATACTAAATTAAACAGATTTTATTTAAAACAATGAAAAAAAAATTATTCTAACGTGGCTTCACTTATTTAAAATTTGGATTGTATTATTTCCTATTCAGATGCTATGACGACGCATTGGCAGGTAATGTTCGTCGTCATCGGATTGATCCAATTCTTCATCATTATTATTATTTTCATCTAGATTTGCATGATGAATTGGGTAATGATCATCCTCATCCGATTCTTCTTGGTTGTTATCAATATTTTCGGGCGAATTAAGAACATGATGCACGGGAAAGTATTCTTGTTGCTCATTATCATCATCATCATTTGATTCTTGTTCCGGGAAAATATGGATTTCATTTAAATCCAATGTGCTTGTATCGATTATTTCGAACGATTCGTTCATTTCATCGCCGTTGTAGTAGACAAATTCATTATCATCATCATCATCATCGACAACATCCCAATATGCCTCATAATCATCGAAAAAATTAGAATCATCATAATAAGCCAAATTACTCGGATCATCTTCATAATCATCATCCGGTATATAAAAGATTTTCTCACGGTTATCACTCATTTTTATTGGATTCGATTTTGTTTTCTACTTTGTTTTTTGATCAAATAAAAATTAATCAAGTAGCACATGGAGTGTAAAAGTAATTTGAATGGAAAAAAATATTGCCCAATTTTTATACAGAATCAGCATTGATTGTTAAAAATAACTTTCTCAGCTCTGGACACAACCAACAATTAAAATAAAATGGAAATGGTTTCATAATTGATTAATTTTTTTTTTAATTGAAATCATGTTAATTAGGTTATTTTTTTCTTAATCATTCTACTGAATAATGAAAGTAAAATTACTTTTTTTTATACACTATGGCGCCGAATCGGTACGCAATGATCAACATAATCCGATTCCTGTTGATTATCATCATAATGAACGGTAAAATATTCTTTATTGACACCATCATCCGATTGATTTTGATTATTTTCATTAACTGATTGATCTTCTTTTTCATCTTTGTTATCATCATTCGATTCATTCAATGTTTGTTCTGGATCAGGATTTTCTTGTTCAATAATATTCGATTGATTTATTGAATAATGATAGATTTGTGGTTGTGATAATTCTTCAATTGTTTGATGATAAATTTCTTCATAATATTCATTAGTTTGATCACGAAATTCTTCGGTTTCTGGTTCCGGTGGTTCATCATATAACAAGCAACAAACATCCCATAATAAATCCTCATAATATGACAGATTATTTGATTCGTCATCATCATCATCTACATCGGAAATGTAAAATATTTTTTCCGTTGATTGATTGTTATTATTCATTTTCTTTTATGGATTTTTATTTATTCAATACTAAAGTTAATAAGGTTTGTTTAGTGTATGTTTTTTAAAAAAACAAAGTAAATTTTAATGAATGAAAATGTTTACAAATTTTATATTGAATAAACATTTATTGTTATAAAATGAAAAATTGTAACAAAAACAAAAATTGAAATAAATAAATTTACAATCAAAATTAAAATTATAATCGTCAAGGTTTAAAATTTCGTTTTTCATCTGGTAGTTCAGCGATTTGATCCGCACAATCTCCAAACTTCATGGTATACTTCAAACTCGTGGCTTATTGACAATTCTTCGAATAAAGTATTGATGAGATAACAAAATCAGCCCACCTTCCGTCCCGGCAATGAATGCCACACCAATATTTGGCATTGGAAATTTTAATTTTATTTTGACTGTTTCATGTCAAAAGTTTTTATGTGATTAGATTGTGAGCAGCGCTTTATATACTCTTCTTTATCAACCTTTAGAACTTATAGAACTTTGAGCAGTTCCGTTCATAAAGTTTGTAACAAAAAAAAAATTGAAAAAAAATCGTTTCTATTTTAATGAATGAAATTTAATGAAATTTATTTATAATTTTTTGAATAAAAAAAGCATTATTCATTTCTATAATCAACATCATCTGATTCCATTACTTGTTGATGTTCCATGTAATAGTTTACATGATGTACAGGATAATAATCAGCATCATCATCATCGTTATCAGATTCATCATCAGATTCGATTCGGTATAGTTCATTGTTCAAAATTGGACAAGATTGAACTCGTCGAATAGGATAGATATGATCATCTTCTTGACATTCCGTTAGATTCAATGATTGCATTGAATAATAATATTCTTGTTCCAATGGATAACATTGTGAACTATCAATATCATTATTCATTGATGGATCATTTATTTCGGGATGATCATCATATGAATAATCACGAAATTCTTCAATTTCGCCATTATAATCATCATCNGTAATTTCATTCTAGATTTGATATGATCAGCAACCAATGGATGAGAGACTGGATCAGACGACCTTCCAAAACGAAATGAATCACAGAATTCAATATTGTAGTGTGTGTTCAGTATACTCAGCGTCATCTTCATCGATGATTTGCGATTGTGTTCAGTATACAGGTAGTAAAGAGATAGGTCTATACACAAAGTACCATTAGTGTAAAGTAAAAGTGAAGACAAAAAACACTGTAAATTTTGTTATCATCGAATTTTGTTCAATGCAGTGGAAACAAGATAAACGTTATCATTTATGAATCCAAATCATGTTGAAAATCATGGGAAAAAAACTTCAATCAAATTACAAATTCAAAATTAAAAATAGAAAGAAAAATTTTATTTAAAAAATAAGTAAAAAGCTAAACATTAAATGAAAGAGAAAAAATATTCTGCAATTCGGATTTACGACATAGAATTAGAGCTTTTATACTAATTGATTATACTAATCGATTTTTAAATGCTATGACGACGCATAGGTAAATAATGATAATTTTGATTATCAATGTCGTCGTCTGATTCTTGTAATTCTTCATCATTATTATCAGCCAAATTTGTATGATGAACTGGAAAGTATTCATCATCTTCAGTTTCATCAATTTCTTCTTGATTGATATTATTATCATCGGATAAATTATTATGATGAACTGGGAAGCACTGTTCATCATTGGATTTTTCTGATTGTTCAGGGAAATTAACACTTTCAGTATTATTTGTTGTGTTTGGTTGTTCATTTATCAATGTTTCTGGGTTAACGATTTCAAATGATTCATTTATTTCATTTCCATCGCAATAAATCCATTCATCTTCTTCATCTTCATCCACATCCCAGTATGTTTCATAGTCATCGAAAAAGAGTGAGTCATCATAATAAGCTAAAGTGCTTGGATCATCTTCTTCATCATCATTCGGAATATAGAAAATCTTTTCCCGGTTGTCGCTCATTTTTTTTTTTTTTTTGGTTTTGTAAAAATAGGATTCGATTGGTTGGTTTTTGATGAATTGGAAATTCGAAAAAATTAGCGGG